TATTACTCAACCAATATGCATTGTTCCTTTATCTGTTAATACAAATACGCAGAAATTTTTCTCGGTATTATAATTTACTATCGCGCATACATAAATCAAGTCGATGCGCCAATTTCAAACTTAGATATCAAATCGTACAGAAGCTATCACAACAATCCGACCAACAAATTCGATCCAAAAAATAATTTTTATTTACCTCGTTTACAGATTGAATTCAGAAAAATGAACGATGGAAGAGGAGAAGAAGATAAATGGAAAGAAATTAATTACTCCTATGATTTATGCGCGTCTCTTATCGCCGTTTGAAAACGCGACTCGATAATATTAATTCGCTGATTGATCTGAGATATGCCGACAGCTGTTCCTGTAATTGACAGAGGTGAAAGAGATGTCTGCGGCGATTCGTTCGAAACAAGGAGTCAACGATGCCGTTAACCCCGATCCCAAATCGGGAAATGGATCGGTATCGATTTACGACGATCGGATAAGTCGACGATAATAACGTCGACAATGGTTCCTTCATTTCTAATCACAGATTCGATCTGTGACCGCCATATTTATTATTAGGTTATAGAAGTATACATACGATTACGCGAACGTTAACTGAAGGCCTTGCTATGCGGCTCGAACTGAACAGGAGTAATTAAGGAGCGTGTCGACCGACTGGTTTCAATCTTAATTCTTTATTTGACGAACGCTAGTTAGGCGACGCCGTTTCTCTAGGATTCCATCGCGAGAAACGCAGTCGTCGCGCAAAGAAACGGAAATGCGATTGAGGTTATTATGCGAGAATATCCAACGTCAATGGGAGTCTATTTAATGAGGATCGTCCGATTTCTTGCACGACTCGTTATAGAGGATGAGACGTATAAAGAGGAAAAGTAGAAACGTTGTATGCGAGTATACTTTACAGGAAATGTATATGAAGATTTTATAAGGATTATGAAAATTATACAAGAATGGAGCACATAGTTAGAAAAGGTATATTTTGTTGATCCAAAAGGAAGGTAGAAAAAATGTGAAGAGGAGGAATTGTGAGATGTAATGTGCTTTATGTTTTTATGGATTTGTATATTTTTGTTTAACTTTTAATTAATGAATAATTTTATGTTTAATTTTGAGATAATTTTATTGAAATGTTTTGAAGTGTTTGATTTATTGATTCAGATATTAAAGATGCAAAAATAGCTGTTACACTAATCAATTTTTTCCTTTACATTCCAGATAATAAGTGCAATTTCCTGTTATCCTGTTTAAATATGTACTTTATTTCTTAAGTTATTCGAAAAGCTAGAGCGAGGTAGAGCATTTTCAATGAAAAAGTGGAAAAAATACAATTCAAATTACTTTGCTATTTTATATAATTCAAATATTGTTCCTTGATACAGAGTAAAAGTTTATTTTGACAAAAAGAAAATATATATAAATTATGTTTAAAATTGATGAGAATCTTTAATATTTTAACTAACAGTAGTTTACAATTAAAGTTAAAGATTTAAGTCTATAAAATAATTACTTTAATTACATAATATTTAAATATATTTTGTTATTTCACACCAGGGGCAGCTTGAAGTAGACACAACAACAATAAAGAAATTTATTCTTCATTATTAACATCTTTGACCTACAACACTTCCAGTCCTTCATAATTAATTTCAATTATAATGAATAAGATTTACTAATTAATCAGGTAATGAGAATAACACTTCCATATCGCATAATTACTTTCTTATCGAAATAAAAACTTAATTTCTTTTCACCAGTTGTAATTTTCATATCTCATTTTGAGCAATATTGTCATTCGTTCTGTCACGTTCATCGATGTTAACGAAAGCTGCTTATTAAGCGTAAAATAACACTGCCAGCATTTAAAGAAGAAACATACGGCGATGTTAAAGGGACGAACACAATGAAAGGAAACGTGGAATAAAAAAACAAGAGTATGAAAATAATTAAGACCTGTCACTTTAGTCTACGAACACTCCGATGGCAAGATGTCGATGATGTCATTAACCCTGATTCCGAAAGAATTCGAATGTACTTGAAATAAATAATGATGTCATAAAATCATCTGATCTGGTCTGCTGACACGTGTGGTACACAATTATCTCCGTGGTGTTAATGAAACGAGAAGTGGAAAATATGCGAAATTGCCTGAATCACCTATCACGATTAGAATATGTATTCGTTAAAAGATCTGTGCTTCAATTGGAGTAGAGAAATATTGATCGTCGACAATTTGTATGATTTGAAGAGCGAGCGATCAGTTTTAAATTAACTGAAGAACCAATTGTGGGCGAGATTCCAAATATACGACAAGATGTTCACTATGGATAGATTCGTCTTCTGTATAGTAAGATATGTTTCACACACATTTTTGTGTCGTTTCATATATTTTATAATTTGTTGATAGTTCAACTTCATATGTAAATATATTTTATAGTTAGTCAAAATGATCACATATGTGTAAGTACGAGATAACATTTGCGGTATAATTGTTGTCATAATACTATTCTTTTTGTTTATTCGAATTAATTAACTTAAAGTTTGATAAAAATAATGTAAACATATATAAAGAAGTATTTAAGATTTTATACATTATAAGATTTTATAATGCATAAAATTTTTATAAATATATAAAGGACAAAAAGAAATTTGCAAAAGGGCTAAAAAGAGTTGCAAATTTTATAAAGAAATTATCAAAGCTAAAAATATATTTTTAATCAGATTTTTATCGAACATTTAATCTTCATATTCGGTATTTTACTTCGATAATATACTGCTAATTTTATTTAATCTGCACTTCATATGAAATTGTTCATATATTTTATATGAGCCCACATACTTTGAAATCGATATTTAATCAAACGCATGAGATAACAATTTTCTCTTGATGATGAACATGTGTCATGATATTGTTTTTTCCCTAAGCTATTAAACTAAATATTTTGCATGACAGGAATTATCAGAAATTTCAAAGTACTTGCACATTACACTAAACTATACCTATTTATCGATCGTGAAGTCTCGAAACATCATTAATAGGTGATCGAATTTCTCGGTCGATTATTTACGTTGCAAGATTATTGTTAATATTGCTACCATTTCTCGTCCAAAAGTACTTACGTCTCCAAATATTATCTGTTTCAGGGCGTTGTATGGAAGAAGAAAACCATGAATGAACGCGTATACTTCGTAGTTCTTGATTCAGAGCGCAGCTAGCCAAGAAAACTGTTTTTCTCTCTTGTCGTTGAGAATAAAAGGAAAGTGACATAAATTACAGTAGAGAATTTCAGAATCAATAATTCTTGATTCTGCGCTCTTGTTATGTATTGTGTGATTTCGAAGCTATTTTCTTCCCTTTTGCCACGGATAATTTGTCATAATGAACGATCTGAACGATTCGAAGAGTACGAAAGGACAGTCGACATGACTATAGAATTGCAAAACGAGGTATAACTTATGTAGGTTTAATGTCAATATTATTTATAGTATTTCTTATTTCCAATTAATGTTGCGATAAAATTGTCATGTAATTATTTTTATTATCGATACTGTCGTTTATACGTACAGATATTAAAAGTACACCTTTTAACCTTTCTATAAATTTTTAATTCGTGTCTTTTTATTACAGGAAAACAACACAAAAAAGAATTACAATTAAACGTCTAATGGTTGCAAATTACATTTGCTGTATCATCTAGCTTCTACTTATCTTTCATTAAGAAATATAAAAGTAATGTTTACATTTGAATGTTACGCAAACAAAATTCAGTTGTCAAAGGAGAGCATTATCTATAACAAGAATATTAAAGTACGAAGTGTGATTGATTACTTTATTCTTAGAACTCCTATACTGTAAGATCGTGTTCCTTATGAGATAAAAAAGAATTAATTTTTTTTATTTCGTAGCGTAAACGAAGAAATAACGCGATCGAAGAAAAATAAGGATCCGAATGAAAAATGTATTTGCAACTAAATACTTTATTTCCAAGATTACACCTTTTCACGAAGGATCATAGACATTCTTTTCCCTACCATTAAATTTTCCATATCATTTAACGGAAAAAAAACTTGGGACATCCTCGAAACACTGGAGATAAGTATAGATATATATATATATATATATATATATATGCAAATATATACTTGGCAAAATTTCATTCTAAGTATTCCATCGATACTCCGAAACAATACTCCCACTCCTTCTCCAGGAGTTCAGGCAAACAGATCGATTGACGTTGACCGTGTCCTTTGGTTTGTTTCCAGATTCAGCAACCGCCGATTTTGCGTCGAGATTTATAGCTTAGAGACTTCCAACCTTTCCACTCGACAAAAGCCGATCTACTGGACGCTAATACGTAACGCTATGACGAATGATAGCAGAAAGGAAAAAACGTGGCGCGCGTCAGAGATTCCTAGGAAGCGTTACAGCGCCGATGCACGATCTGCCGGCATCGATATCGTTAACCTTGATCCTGTAACGGCCAAGCATCGGGCGATGCAAGACGATTATAAAGCCTGATAGGCGGATAATGATGCAGAAACGCGTTCGACGTAAATGGATTTGGCATGTGCGATGGGAGTGGCGAATGGTTTCGCAGGCGAAAAAGGAGACGGGTGAAAGAAAAAGAGGTAAAAACGAGCGTTACGCGTAGAAAGAGAGAGAGAGAGAGGAAGAGAGAGATAGCGTGGGTAGAGGGGTGAAACGGAGAGACGAGAGGGGAGAATCGTTTGGTTAGTTGATGTTGTGTGACGGAGAAGCGAGAAAGAGAAAGGTAGAGTGACGAAGATGAATAATAAGGTGAAGAGCAAAGCAAAGAAGATGAAGAAGAAGATGAAGAAGAAGACAAAGAAGAAGAAGTAGAAGACGACGACGACGATGACGACGATGACGACGATGACGACGATGACGACGATGACGACGATGACGACGATGACGACGATGACGACGATGACGACGATGACGACGATGACGACGATGACGACGACGACGACGACGACGACGACGACGGTGGAAGTGGTAGCAAAGACGCCGTCCCTGCCGATGGTGGTGGTGGTTGGTGTTGTCAGTGGAGGTGGCGAACATCGTCCAAGAACCCAGAGAAGTGAGCGTTGACCGTGATCAGGAGGGTGCAGTGGGGGTTCGAGGTTGTGGTGCACATTGGAGGGGGAAGCATAGTTACCGAGAGGAGCTTAGCCGTTAGGTCGTTCAGTGGTTCGTGGCTCTGCGTATGCCTGTATGCGTGAGCACGTATAAGCGCGTGTACGCGTGTATGGGTGACGAGGAAAGGGACGAAGGAGGTACTGTCGCGAAGAGGAGTGGGAGAAAGAGGCGACGGAACCGCGCGCTCCACGGCCTCCCACGTCGTGGATCGTCATTCCTAGCCGAGTCTTTTCGACGCTCGCGACGCTTCTCCAGCCCCAGAGACTTTACCGATCCTTTAACATTTCGTCTTCATGTACGCTTGTCCGGAAACGACACGGTCCTCCACGTCGTAACAGCGTGCCCTTGCTGGCTTCGAGTGGTGTAGCTATTCCAACGATTCAACAGTCGGCACCCGAATTTCGACACCCTACTACGTATTTCCTACCCGCTATTTACCCCCTCTCCCTGGTGGAAGCTTCGCCTATTAATTTCTCTGTCTCCCACCCTCGGAGATCCCTTTAGCCTAGTCACATCCCCCGAGAGCGACCGAGAGACACAGGCAAGGAGAAAGCGTAGTAGAAGAAAGTCAGTAAAGAAAGGAGGAGGATCAGTGCGAGCACGTCCGTTGACGGGTTCAATTCGCAATAGTTGAAAGTAACACGGTTCGTTGGTTCCCGCCGGACAAGGCTGTGTAGTACACGCGGTTCTCCTAGGATATATACCGACACGCCACCCACCATTTGTGTATGTGCCAGTCTGCCTGCACGCGTGTGGGTATCACGACGACGGTTCAGGCCACCGAAAAGTGAATTGGACGATTCGGAACAGACAGCCGGAGCAGCGACTTTGATTGTCGGTAGTTTGCGATCGACCGAGAAACTAGCTCGTTAGAGCGCGAGAATAAACGCAAACGCTTGCCAGAGGCTCTTTTTGATACACGGTCGATCGTGAGTTTTAACGAGGATGTCGCACAAGATGCAGAGCCAAGGAGGGCCGGTTCTCGGGGGCAAATTACAGGTGAGTTCCTCTACTTTCCTTCATCTTTACTTTCTCTTTCACTTTGATTTTCCCACTGTTTCCGTCTCGTCTGATCGCCGATCGATCGATCGGCTCCATAACCGCTCGCGAGTCTAACTGGAAGACAACGCGATTGTGTCCCCTGTGGGTACCCCGCGTTGCGTAACCACGTTCTATTAAAAATTCTCAGCGAAACACCGACGAACCTGGTTTATCCATGGATTAACGGTTACATCGTCGATAAGAGCGGTCATCTGATCGCGTGAGAATTAATTAAATCCCGGCGGAAGTGTGTTCAGCTGCGGCAGGCTTATAAATAGGCGTGAGACACCGCGGCAGGGGAATCGAAATTAGCATGACCGAAATCGAACTGGCGCCTCTTATTGATCTATAACGTACCAAACATCGTCGAAAATCTAATTCCCGAAAGGATCATTAGAATACTCGTCTAAATATGCTATATAGGAACAAGGAACGAAGTAGTGACAAATTCGGAATAAAGGTCTCAGTGTTTAAATTCTCTTTGAATCTAGTCTGAAGCGTCCAGTAGATAGCTCACGCGAGCAGGAAAGAACCAAGCAAGCCGACCAGGGCAGTGCGAGCAATTAAATAGCTGAATATTTGCGAAGCATCCGGCTCTAGATGCGCAAATTCGAAATCCAACAACCTAGTCTTAGACTCAGAGATATTAATCTGCCGTCGGAGTCACGGAATCGTGGGTGAGCTGCGAGATCAACAAACGTCCTGCAGATCTCACGCTATGTCCATACGTAATTGCACGCGTATGCTATTTCACAGGTCGAATTCTCTTGATCGGAAAAATAGATGAAGAAGTAAACTAGAAAACTGTGGATACGTAACGCGTTTTGCGATTCCATATTCGTCGAGGATCTCGCCTTATTGGCATGCATTCGGCTACGCAACAGCCACGTGGTCCTCTTTTTCCCTCCGCGACGTTGGTCCCGCGAATTCGAGCATCTGGCGTTACTATCGCACGAATGAAGCGTTGACTCAGCAACCAGTCATTCCAACCTGAATTAAGTGTCACGTGGAATTGATAAAAGGAGGTCGGGACGCGAAAGCAGCCGCGAAAAAGTGCGTTCCCGACGCACGTCGTCCACGCGATATCTGTCCACTGTTTTGCTAATTTCGTGACATTTTTCCCACCCCTCTCCGAGTTGTTTTCTGTTTCCGTTTCGTACGTGATTTATGCTTACTTTCCATTGTTACCCAATCGCGAGAACATCGCGGTCGCCGCGTATATCGGATGGAATTATCGAAACGCGAGAATGCTTCCGTTCCACGACGGAAATCGGATTTGTTTGTCCTCCTGGTCCTCCGTTCCATGCGCCATCGCGAATTTCCGCTGTTCTGACCGAGTTCTGACGTCGTTAAAATAGATCGAGTTCGTCATCGATAAAAATGGCGGCGGAATCGGTCGGAACGAAAATGGGGCTCGTTGCGATCCTTCGAGATCATATCGCGAGAATTAGCTGGTGCGATAGCGGTGACCTAAAAGAAATTCATTTGTAGTCGCCGGGCGTGAAGGAAACCGCGTAGGAGGGATGAGACTGTACATCAGTTTACAGTCTTTTTTTCTACATTCCTTTTAATCCGATGTAATTGAACGTCTGCATCTCTATCTTACGGTTTGCTTATTCATTTTCAGCTCTCGTGGGAAGATAAAGGTATCCTTGTATTTTTTCACGGCGATTAGACGTCGCGGTGATTTTCCATCGTATCTACTTTCGCAATCGGTCGTCGTAATCGAGTCACCTGAATCATCAAGTCCGGGAAGGGACGCGGGTTAGACTTCCAGGCTCGGGCGCCACTTTTCAATAACGCACAGGCGCGATAGGGAAGTCTGAATTTGCCGCGATAAAATAGTCGTTTATCACTTATACCTTTTTATCGCGGTATCGTATGCGTCAGTGTTTGGTCGTGTGATAGGCGACGAGTTCTTTACCAACAACTGCCATACTTTTAAAATCCCCAGATAGCCATTTTCTCCGGTGATATCAGCGTGACAGGGTTGGTTGTAAGAAAAAGTCAGTCGATCGACTGATTGATCGTAGTGAAAAAGGGAAAGGTAGAAATGTCGCGTAATGTTTGTCGATTGCTTTTGTTAGATACCTTTGATTTGGTACTCGAATCTCGATACGTCTCGAAAGATTCGTGATATCGTTGATATCGAGTTCTGTATCTAGAGTTATCGTTATTTCTCTCATTTTTCCAGCGGTTCAATGACAGTTACGTCGGTGGAACTTTCCTTTGTTTTCTTTGCTAAATCACGTTCGATAACGCGTAATTAAAAGCTCTTACGCGTAGTGAAAAAGGTATAAGATGGTTGATATAGTTAGAGATAGACGAAACGTCATGGGGGGGAACGTGTTATCATGGATCAAGCGATAAAAGGCCGCAACGAATCGGAGCGGATTTCCCGCCACTCTGTTTACTTTCTAATCTTGCGGATTCAGCGTGCTCTTGCTGCTTCGTTCTGCATTTTTACCTCGCAAGCGTGTCTGAATTCCGCCCCGAGATCTAATGTTTATCTTGATCTTGACGCGCCATGCTTCGAGCGCAATCGTGTGTGGTAATGCATCGTTCCTTTTTGGAGTGAACGACTTTTTTTTTTCACTTCGCGATAGCGAGAATTATCGTGTTCCACGATATTTGAAATTTTTCGATTCCTTTCCTTTTTCCTCCTTAGTTTGCTAAATCGGGAAATTTAGTCAAATTTTTCGTCGTGAATTTGTTAACGTTAGAAAATGAAATTTATTTACCTCGCGAATGTCTTTGGTTGCCTTGTAATGATATATTAATTCGGTATTAGAGTTATACAAGGATTTCATACGCCTCGAATTGACCGATATTTTTCTCGAAACGAACTGTTACTCTGAAATTCGTGGATTTTCGCCCAGACTTGTTTGCTCGGAGAGATTTTAAAAATAAAGAGTTTCTTTTCTCAGCGGCTTTTAAGAGAACGTGGCATTATTCTAAACACATAAATTTGCTATCCCCATGCTGTTCCTCGCGCAATTGTACATTCGTGATTTTAAACTCATCGCGTTTCTCTCCTTTCATAGACTCGACTACCAAATCGATAACCGTATTCGCTTCTTCGTATCATTACCTCAAAAATTAATCTGACCGCGAATATCAGATTTATAATTACTTCTCTGCTTGATCGACACTTGAATATTTATTTCCATGCAATATTATTTCTTCAAGGACAATGTTTACCCCAGGAGAGTAGCTATACCGATCATAAACGAACAAAACCAATTACCATTAACCAAAGAAGCGTCGTAAAAAGCAACTTAAACAAATTACAAGAACAGCAATTACAGACGACGTAGATTTCCAACAAATTTTCATATTCTGGGCTATATTTTCCTCCGTTCTCAAACCACATCGGCCATTCCACTGTAATACAGCTAAGACGTCATCAGAGCCAAAGCAGTGCGAGATAAAACGTTATCTGAGAATAAGTTGACAAACCCACGCAACCTCTTCCAAAATCTAATCTACTTTTTCGCAATATCGCTTCTTTCCGGCCCATCGACCATTCTTAGGTCCTAGAAAAAGTAGTTTCTGGAAGAAGAATAGCATCGGATGAAACTCGTCCGCGAATCCGCGACACCCTCTACCAGATTCACGCTGCAAACACGGACAAAGAGGATCTCGTTCAGCTTTTTCGTCGGACGAGTTTTTCGGAGGGTCATTTTACCCAGGCATAAGTCGAACCCGACAGATATTTCCGGCGAACGACCTTGCCCGACTATCGCCATCAACAGGCCAGAGCCCCGTTACGGAATCTCGGTTACTCGAATTACGCGTGTCAAACGAGACGTATTTTGGTAACAGCAGCCTCTGACACACGCGAGGATACGTGTTTCAGGAATTCCTGGCCTCCGTTGCTAGACCAGTTTCTGCCCAGCGAGTGCCGCGATGAAGGAACGAGACCTCACCTGCCATCGGTGACTTCTAGTTTCTACTCTGACCTCGATCGATTATCATCCAACAGTTTTCCTCGCCACTTGCCTACCGAACGTTGACTTCTGTCGACGTCGATGGGCTGGCTGATCGATGAATCGCATGGTCGTTCCATGGCTTTCCCTTGTTTGGGTTGTTCCACCGACACGCGAGGAAATCTCTGCGATCCTGCTCTATGCTCGAGTGCCTCTATCCGAGGATCACAAGCGTCTTGGAATGAGATGTAGAAGAAATCTTGCAGGGAAAATATCAAGGAATTCGAGGACGCAGTACTTTGTCATCCGTAAAAAGTATTGTACGTTACTGATGGTGCAAGTTTTCTTTTTTTGACTATATTTACATCGATTTGGAGATTTTCTTTTTTAATTTATTCAAAGTCATATCCTGTGAGTTACTAGCGACTGTATTTGATTTATATATTAACATAGTATGTGTGCGTTAATTGTTTAGATTGTCACTTGGGAATTTCATAAGGGGCTTTATCAGTGCATTTTTGGCGAGTGCTTCTTCGAGGGATTTTGGAGATTTTGTTTAGGTATTTTATGCTGTCGATTAGAATATGCTTGGCAATGATGTTCGTGTTGCAGATGTCGCACGAAGATTTTGTTTCATTTATGTTGTCGATTAGAATATGCTTGGCAATGATGTTCGTGTTGCAGATGTCGCACGAAGATTTTGTTTCGTTTTATTTTTTGATGACGAAGTTTGAAAAAATGCTAATAATAATTCAGACGTCTATTGTGGAGCAATCCTTCCTTTGGGTTTTCTGTTAAATTTTAAGCCAGATATTCTACATTGCTCGGCACAAAGACCGTATTGTCTTATTTTTAAATTTCAGTTAGATCAGTTTCTTCCTCGGAAAAGTTGCTTGGCAACAGCTTGTCCGAAACCTGTATTTTTAAGGACGTTGCATTATGAGATGTTCCTTTTATCCTTTTGTATCTCAATTTGCCTGGCTTTTAATGCCAAAACTCCTTTGTACGAACGCGAAATACGATTCATTT